ATTGATGACCTCAAGTAACCCCAGTGGGGTCCTCATAGCTTGAGATTAGTCTCTTTCTTTACCCGTAGTGACTTTTCCTTTTGTTTCTGACATACCCAGGCACCCAGCCATGTATTGGGTCTGGAGCCTCTGCCCCAGCCGTGGGGGGTGTCCCCAGGGCTGCTGTAGTGTAGCTCCCCATCTCCCCTGAGATGCCCAGTGGTCTTGGTGTCCTGTCTCCTCCATTCCCTGGTGTTGAGCCCTCACAGGGCCATCCCTCTCCAAGGCCACCCCTGGGCCCACCCCTGGGCCTCGGGTTTGCCCACCTCCTGCTAATGCCAGAGCCTCTGCATTTGCCTGTGCGTGGGCTCTGCTCATCATGTCACCCGACGTCAACACAGTTTGAAGCCTCAAAACAACGCTCTACTGCAGTGACATTTATTAACAGTACCCATCACTGAGGTTTAGTCTTTAATCATCACCATAACAAGCAGCCCTTAACATGCTTTTCCTAAATCAGCCATGAGGAGAAACCAGCAGAGAGGGGGTACACTGGGTTAGTGGTTGTGCCTTGGCACTGGGCTTTGTACAGCTCTTATGGTGAGGGGGCCAGAGTACTTGATGAATAATTGCACAGGCTTTTCCTATCAGCTGCCTTCTGCTGTTGTGGATCACAAGAGGTGTAGAGCAGCCACTGTCTTCTCTTGAAACCTCTCTGAAAGGAGGGCTCCAGCAGCACTGTCTGCTGAAGGGCTCCTCTCCTGCCTCACACTTATTCTCCCTGGCCCAGAGTCCCAACACCTCTGCCACAGGAGCTGGCGAGGCCTGGGCTGGGGAACATGTTGCCTGTGCTGCTTTCCTGGCTGCAGTGGGCACGTTCCCTTATCGTTTGCCATGAGCCATCTGGAGTACTGAAAATGAAGAGCAGTTAGAGACAAATTCCGAGAAGTTCTTCGTCTCTGGGTGTCTGTGTCTCAGCTGGAGAATGTTGCCTGAAATAGGAAAGAATGAAGTGAAAGGCATGGGACTTCCGTCCTGGAACAGAAAGGAGGCAGGAAAGGAAAAGCTATTTTTGGATACACACGAAGGGACTGCCTAGCTCTGTTAAACATTTGGGCTATCCTATGGCTCACACTGGAACTGAGAATGCCTCCAACACAGGCTAAGACAATCCACTTTTCATCAGACCCACAGATACAAATTCCTTCTTGCCTTTGCAGTCAAGATCATATGAGAGAGAGAAAATCCCAGTCTTGCCATCTCCACTTGAGTCAAGGTCTCAAAATCCTGCTTGTTATCCATGCAGATTTAGGGACCCAGTTTCAGGTGGTTGACTGACTGTAGGATTGAGGGCATATTCACAAATGCATACAAATCCCATTAAGTTCATACTTCAACTATGTCCTGAGCTGTGATGCTACAACAGCTAAGTGCTTGCTTCTCTATTTCTTCCCTTTCAGAACACCAGTACTGGGGCTCAGACCTGCAACTTCCCCAAATGCCTTTTGAAGAAATCATGTACAATGATGAAAGTGCCTACAAGTGGCTGTGCACCCTAAAGAAAGTAGGACTCGTGATATTAACAGGAGCTGCTGCTAGGCAGGGAGAGTTGATTAAACTTGGCCACAGGATTGGGTTTCTGCGTCTCACTTTTTATGGGTGAGTTTGCTTTTTAATATCCCTGCTTTGCTGGCTATGTAACCACTTTTAATGTCCTTCGCTTCAGCTTGCTGGACCTATTTTGTGGATGAAATTAAGGAACGCTACTTTTTTTTTTCTTCTCTGCATATTAGAAAATGTAGTGTCAATTGTCTGTAGGAGAAGATTGCTTTACTGTGACAGGCAGGTACATAAAGAACACCAGCAATAACTGCTGAGAGAAGGAAAAATGCCTGAAAACAGATGATATCAAATAAAAGATAACCACAAGATAGCTGTACTTATCTATACCATGGAACAAAATCAAAAACCCCGTAATTCAGTGCCCTTCTAAAAAAGGAAGTTGTCTATACTGAAACTTCTTCTTAGCCTGATTTTTAGTCACAGAAATAGGTAAGACTCAGATGATGTATTGTGCCTCCCATCACTAAGGAGATGGACAGAGTATCCATTCCCTGCTTCCAACTGAGTCTGCTCTGGAAAGCCACAACCAGCCCCAGCAGGCATCTTTTAAGACTGCTTTTTATTCAGAAGTAATTGCTCAGCCTGCAGGAGGGCAAGCAGGAACTTGTAAATCATCCTTCTGATGCCAAGAGGTGATAAAATGAACCTCGACCTCCTCAAGCACCCACTACCCGAGTAAAAAAATCATGATGGTAGCTCAGGTCTTGCTGAGCTGAGTCAATGACCTCCATGTAGCTAAGCGAAGGAGCAATGTTGCCCTGTCTCTCACCCCCAGCTGCTGGGATGATTTTTTTACAGTGTATATAAAAAACATTATTACTTGGATATGTGCTTATTGTCAAAAAAAAAAAAAAAAGAAAAAGAAGTTATAAAAATAGCCAGTAACACTTAAACAAAATAGATAGAACTTTTAGACATAACTGTGATTTCTTGGAGCCTGAATAGCTACCAAACCTAGAACACTCAAGGTTTCCCATCTGGAAAAGTCCCTTCTCCTCTACAATAGAGTTAAAGATGACAAACTGGATTTACCTGTAGTTCAGAGAATAAGGAACAAAACGATGTGGGCAATAACCAGTGTCTCCTCCTTTGTCTGAAAAAAAATCCAACAACCCAACAGTTTTAAAAAAACAGAAATGAGGGGAAAAAACTTCACCCTTGGCCGGAAAGACCACATTCCTTCAAGTCAGGAGGAAAGATTTTCTCCCCTTAAGAGTCCTGTGTGAAGGCACACGTGGGCCCTGCTGGAATGTGCAATGCAGGTGAGGGTAGTAAAAGCGCACTGTGACAGCAGGAAAATTACATGAACTCAAAATGTTCATTGTGAGGTGAAGGGGAGGAAGGTGAACAAAAAGGTCACTTCTTCAAACTAGGATGCTTGAGTGATGTTTAAATGTACTAGGCTATCTAAGATAATGTATTGTTGTTAATGTGTGACTTCCTCTTTCTGCATACTGTGCCAGAAGGAAAAGTTAACTGGGATTCAGTCAGGTTAATCCTACTGAAATTAACGGAGGCAGAGCCCCCTGCTTGACTCAGAAACCTCATCCAGTGCTACACAACATTTTCTGCCGTTAAAAGCCCAGAACAGTAATGTCAAGCACTTCTACGTTTGGCAGTCTACTATGGTCTCAATTTAAAACTTGCATCATTATGAAAACACTGCTGCTTTCTATTTCTGTTTTAACATGATTGTTATTAGTTACAGATACAAGATGATTCTTAGGAGTATCCAATCCTGACTATATCTTAGGATGTTTCACAGCTTTCCTTGGCACCTGAAGGATGAAACATTTGTTCTGTTTGTACCCAAACAGCTGCATAAGCATTTTGAGTTAGGAACAAATATAGCAAGCCCCAGATACGAGGAAAAAATATTGGTTCTTTGTTGAAGCATACCACCAAAAGAAAATACACACTATCTATCTCCAAAATAGCTCAGGGGAGAGGGGGGAAAAACCCAAACCCTAAATAACAACCAAAACCCCCCATGCAACCCCTTCAACATATGCTATGGGTTTGTGCTTGGGTTACAACAGAACTTTTAATTGCTTGCCTAGGTTTCAGGGATGAGGAACTGGATCTAGAAGTTTTCCCTGGATCCTAAAACTGCAAAAGATCTTTAAACCTTCTAGACTAACTTTCTTGACATGGCAGCCCACTGTGTTTCACCTATTGTCCATCTGCAGAGCACTGTAATATGCTTTGCAATAAGGTATTCGAAAGGTTTTGCTATTTAACTTGGCAGATTAAAACAAAACCTACATTCTGCTTGGTACTCTGCCTCAGCCCTTCATCATCATTGCTGTTTAAAATGACTGTCAACTGTGTTGGAAGCTGTCTACAACATCCAGCTCGTGATAACTCTGCTATGTTTAAGAGAGACTGAGAAGTCCTTTACTGCATAAATGTCTATTAACTGTTAGAATAGACTTTCCTTATCTAAGTTCAGCTACCAAGAGAATCAGATTGTCCTAGGGAGACTTGCCAGTTTATCACTTGTGTCATCAGAATGGGGTTTTTTCCAATTGAAAAAAGTTAGTCTTGCCCCTAAACTGACTCTTCCCTAGCACAATTATAAACAGGAATGACTAATAAATACGTCACCTTGTTTGAAGTCAGCTTGAATGAATGTTTAATCTCTTAGAAGATGGTTTCAAGAAAAGTAGTTTATCAGGATGAGTTCTGAGTCTTTGATGTCTATATATACATGTATATTTAAAAGTTTTTATATCTTATAAACAGCCTCCTGCCCATTAATGTTCCACACAAGGTCAAGGTTGAAATGTGACCTTGGTCTAAGCCATTTGAGCAAGTAATGGTTAGAGCTCCTTTCACTGTTTAAATCAGCTTTACTTTTGATGTTGTTTAAACCTTATTTTTATATTTCTTTAAGTATAAGGGTTCACAATAAAGGAATGATGAAAGGCTATAAGTCTCCTTGTGTTTCCTAAATCTATTTGCTAATTCATGTATTTATTAGGCTGCAGAAAGAGGGTTTCAATGTTGTGGAAGTTTTCCAATTGCCTATGAATTCTGCATTTAAAAGAAAATATACTTCGTAGGAATATTTAGTTTAGTTGAGTTCAGGTTCTTTTCTCTTTTGCTTTTTAAACGTAGCTGTAGTATTGGAAAGTCTTAAAGTCTGGTTTACATCATCCCAATTGAGTCACCATGGTTAGATTTACTCTAGGTCATTTAACAGTTGCTAATTGTGTTTCTGTGTATGATTAGGTTGATTTTGCAACATTAAATTAAAATCTGAAGAGCATAAGATCAAAGAGAGCCTGACATCTGAAGACCAGTTTTGCAGACTAGCTTGATTTCAAGTAACAAAAACCAGCTCTGCCACAGGGTGAAGTCAACAAGCTATGTACAGATCAAGGTCCAGGTCTGAAAACAAGAGTGTCTCTACCGGTGCTAAAGGAAGGGCAATTACAAAAGGGGTAGGATGTGTATGATACAATGCACATACTAGCAGAGCCAAGACTTTTGGGGAAGGAATCAGAACTGTTGAACACGCTTTCTTTTTCAGACTACCTTGCTAACTTGCAAGGAGATAAATTAACTGTACATACAAAGGCATCCTGCTTTGGAGTTTGGAGCCAGATCTATGAGCTTATCCAGGGCAAGTGTGCTATTCCTTACATCTTGGCTTTCGTGCCTCCAGTTCAGACATTGTTTAGCTGTCTCCATGGTGCATTACAAGGATGCCTTTGTTAGGGTGATACAAAAGCACACCTATGCAAGCATGACTCCCACAGTAATACAAAGGTAAGCTGCCAGAACTGCACAGCATGATTATCCTGCCAAGGAGATGTACAAGATGAGTTTCTTACCTCAATAGATAAGCCTTGACCCAAAGCTTTCTTGAGTTCTTAGAAAGACACTGCCTGCCCTTGCTATTGAGTTCTTCTGGCCTTGGATGAAGCCTGTGGGAAACATCTTGCAAAAGCAAGTATCATCTGCTTGCATGACTTTTTAGACCTTGGGAAAAGAAAAAGAGAGGAAATCCTAAAATACTGGAAAATACAAGCAGGATGGTGCATAAACTTTGTATTGTTACATGTAGCGGTTCAAGAAACAATCCATAAAGTATTTTTTAAAAAATATAAGTCACAAAACTAGTTTCAAATGCTTTAACACAAATGTGTATGAAGTGGTAACATGCTAAACATATCAGAAATCAGTTAATATACTCAAACAGCTTAACAACCCAGTGTTGTTAAATGTGTAATTCATTACATGAAGTCTTGAAAAAGACTTTAATTGTTTTGCTTTATTTTCAGATATTTGGGGAAGGTAAGTCATAGAATCATAGAAGAGTTAGGGTTGGAAAGTCTTTTATAAGGAACAAATTTCTTATTTTTTTCACCATGTATAGCTGGAACCCAGCGCAAAAATAGAGCTAAGAAAAGACTTTTTTCCCTAC